CATATGTTTGATTTCTTCAGCATATGATGACTGCTCTTTATAGAAGTCATGCCTTGAAGGAAGAATAATATTATGAACATACATATTTATCTTAATAATTATCTATATAATTAAATAGAAGTAGATAAAAGTAGATTTATTTCTTAATATTTTTTAGAAATACAAATTGATATGATATGTTTTAAATCCCTCATTGAAGAGAAAAAGACTCAATATTGTTGTATTGTGGTTTAGCTACTATATGAAAATATTGTGTTTATATGTTTGATATATAATTTTCTAAGTAATATGGTAAGATCCATGTTAATGAATTTTAGTTGGTCATAGAATGGGATTAGATTACTAGCCTAAAAAGAAGTTGTTTAAAGAACTATTATCAAAATTCATATAACTTTATTTTCTTTTGATAGTGACTTTTGAAGTTGATCTTATTAGTAGTAACTTTTAAACATTTAGAGTCACCCTTGTTAGACATTGGTGACCCTTGAAGTTATATTTTGGTTCTTCTATTTGATATTTAGGGCATATATTATGTAAATCTTATTAGAAGTAGGATTAGAGAGGAGTCTTGGAAGAAAAAAAGAGAAATTAGGTCATCCATATGGATGAATGGAGATGGATGATAAAAATCTCCATTCGTATTGGCCAAAAAGTATATTCAATGGGCTTTAAGGAGGTTGCTTGAGGCCTTATTAGGGATTAGGGTTATTTTTTTGGAGCCATTTGAGCTTTGAAGGCTAGGATCAGCAATTTTAGGTTTTTGGCTATAGTTTTGGTGAAAATTTTGTATGATTTGGAGTTTATATGAAAGAGATATGGGCACTTAAAGTTAAGGTATTGATTTTGTATCTACTATCACTCTTTTGGACATAACGTGTGCATACAAAAAAGAATAAAGGATTGGCAACTAAAGTTGAAGAGAACACTTTTTTGGCTATACTTTTGGTATATTTTTTTAATGGATTTTAAATTATAATAAAAGAGATATTGGAGGTTGAAATGACTACTTGCAATCTAAGGGTAGTAAGTAACTCAATTCATTAGTAGTTGTGTTTTGAGCTATAACTTGAGTAAGTTGATGAGATTTTAGCTCAAAATTTCTAAAAATATATATAATCATGTTAGTAAACTTTGTACATAAATTTTATGACATTTAAATTTTTGGTTTTTAAGATATGAAGAAAATAGTGTTTGGATACTTGTAAATTATGGTTTAGAGCACCTGCTAGGATTTCTAAGATGCCAAAAGATCATTAATGATTTTACAATCTATTTGTTTTGTAAAAAAGCTTAAGAATAATAGCTATGTCACATAAAAATTTGAAAAAAACTGAATAGTTGGATCAAAAGATAAGAATTTCTAAAGCTCGAAAAGAAAAAATCTTTTGGAAGAAAAATATGTTTTGAAGGATTTTGCTATAATTTGGACATTTTATATAAAATGAAGAGGTTTTGGAAGCCAAGACTTTGTATATAAGTTAAAGGTAGAATAAATCACTTATTAGAGCTTAGTTAATAAGTTAAAACTGAACTCTCTATAGCTAGATATCTCGTATATTTTTATATTGCAAATCACACCACATGATAATATCATCAAGAGGGCTTGTGCTTATATTGTAGAGAAACTAAAGACATTATTCAATATTATCCAAAGAAACAATGCAATCACAAAATAAAGAGCATGGTTGACAAAGAAGAAGATGTGGTTGAAAAATAAATTTCTCTAATTACAATAGGAATCGTGCAACTAAAATCTTGTATAATTCCTAGTCAAGGTTTTATTCTCTTCTTAGTTCCATGACATTGTTTTATAATTGAAGTTTATTTAGGTCCAAAAAATCATAAAATCTTAATCTTATTAAATTTAGAAGCTTTAACTTATTTTATAAATAAATACTTTGTTAAAAAATAAGAGATATTTTTAATTAAGAAAATTAATTTCCTACATATAAAAGACATAGATGGTCGTTTGCTATCTTTTGAAGATATTATACATAAGACTATTCTTTTAGATGTAACAATTAAATATTATAATAGTATAATAATATTTAATATAATAATAGTATAATAATATTTAATATAATAATATTTCTATTTAAATTACTTATTTTAAGATTATTTTGATTAAAAAATATAATCCTTAGATAGATTGGATTTCTTGTAATCTTGACTTTTCTTATAGTTTGATCCAAAATTTTGTTAGTCAAGTAGAAATATATAAGCATATTATATCCAAATCCTTATTAATAGTTATAAAAGCTTTTATTACTAGAACAAAAAATAGATCATCTTTTGCTATATATGCCACACCCATTTCTAATGGTAAAAAGATGTCAAGTGATATTCTTAGCCAATATTTAGATTTCTAGGATGTTTTTGAAAAAAAAAAATTGAGATATTTTTTTACAGCATTAATCCTATGATTGTTCAATTCATTAGTTAGAAAGAGCTCAACCACCATTTAGACTGATCTATAGGTTATTGCAAAATAAGTTGACTACACTAAAAAAATATATTAAAAAAAATTTGGCTAAAATTTTTAAATGCCATTAAAAATCTCAAGCAAGAGCTCCTATCTTATTTATAAAGAGAAAAGATGAATCTCTATGGATGTTCCTAGACTATCAAAAACTTAACAAGATCCCCATTAAGAATAGATATCTTCTATCTCTGATTTCAAGACTTCTTCACTAATTTAATCAAGCAAATATCTATACAAAAATAAATCTACAAAGAACATATAACTTGGTTTGTATCAAAAAAGAAGATGAATAAAAGATTGCTTTCTAAACTACGCATGAATATTTTGAATATAATAGCATGCCTTTTGAACTTATAAATGTACTAGCTACATTTCAACATCTTATAAATGATGATTTTTGTGAATTTCTTGATGATTTTATTATTTGTTATTTAAATGACATTCTAATCTGTTCTAAAAATTAAAAAGAGCATGAACTTCATGCTTGTCATGTCTTACAAAAACTTAGAAATACAAGCTTGTATGCCTAGATGAAAAAGTGTGTATTCCATACTACTCAAGTTGACTTCTTAAGATACATCATTTTTAATAAAAGACTTATGATGGATCCAAAGAAAGTCTAAACTATCATTGATTGAAAGATTCCAAAAACAATAAGAGATATACAATATTTTTTGAAATTTTCCAATTATTACAAGATCTTCATCAAGAACTTTTTTCAAGTTGCAGCTCTTTTTACATATTTAATATGTAAAGACAAACTTAAGTGGAGTAAAGAAATTGAAGAATCTTTTGAAGTTTTGAAGACAACATTTATTTTTGCACCAATTTTGTATTGCATCAATTTTTTTAAGGCATTCTTTATGAAAATAGGCACATCAAACTTTGTTATAGATACTATTTTGTTACAAATGGGAATAAATAAAAAGCTCTATCTAATAGCTTTTTATTCTATAAAATTTTCAATAGTTTAGATTAATTATGAGATGCACAATAAAGAGCTTCTTCTAACTATGGATTTATTTGAAGAATGGCATCATTATCTAAAAGGCACTTCTAGTCTAATTATCATATATACAAATTATAAGCTCTTGTAGTCAAAGTTCTATTGAGGGGCAATTATATATTCTAAAAGGTAAAAAATGATTACGTGATCTTCAAGCTCATCATCACTTTTTAGTAGCCGAATATTTTGGATATAATAAGACTTTGGATCTAAAATCAAGAGATTTTTGGTGGCCTCAAATGTGAAAGGTAGTCAAAGACTTTGTACAATCATGTAATATTTATTTAAGATCAAAAACTCCTTGTCATTGACCATATAGAGTTTTTTTACCTATTACTTATTCTAAAACAATTATGGTCTCTTATTTCTATGGATTTTATCATAGATCTTTAATCTCAAGTTTGTATGATTCTATGTTTGTAATAGTAGATCATTTTATCAAGATGGCACATTTTGTACCATGTACGAAATCTATCATAGGTGAAGAAACTGTTAAGTTTTTTCTTGACAATATCTATTGCTATCATAGATTGTCCAAAGATATTATATCAAATATAGAGACTCAATTTGTATCTAGATTTTGAAAAACCCTTTTTAAGATTTTAAAGGTGGATATAAAGCTCTTTGCAGCTTTTCATCCTCAAATTGATGGACAAATGGAATAGATGAATCAAGTTCTAGAACAATATTTAAGATGTATCATCAATTATCATTAAGATGATTAGACAATTTTTTTGCCATTGATTGAATTTGCGTACAATAATTTAGTACATTCTTTTACTCAATAAATACTTTCTTTGCCAATTATAGTTATTATCTACAACTTGATACTTTTGACTTTTCAAAAGTTGATAATCCTGCAACAAAAGATTTGGCAAATTATTTATCAGAACCATATACAACAATAAAGACAAAGTTAAAAGAAGCTCAAGGACAACAAAAGATCAATGCACATGCCTATTGTAAGGAACAACCACAATTTAACATGGATGAGAAGGTATGATTACTTTGTTGCAAAATCAAAACTACTTGCCTTTGTGACAAGCTAGATTATTATAAGCTTTGATCTTTTTCTATTTGTAAAGAAGTCAATCATGTTGCTTATTGATTACACCTATTGAAGTCTATGAAGTTCCATCCCATATTCCATGTGTCTCTTCTTGAGCTATATAAGATAGGGAATATCTCAAGAAGAAGACAAATGCCATTTCTTCATATAGAAGTGGATAATAATTAAGAGTTTGAGGTGGAAGAAGTCATAGTTCAATCACCAAACATCTATATTCTCTAAGTTGATGTATGTTTTGACTTTATACATGTCAAGTTACCACTTTGACAAGGTGAGAATGAAGTTACTTTTTTTACTTTTCAAAGATACTTAAGTCAATTCCAATCCCAATTACCAAGCTGTTATGATTCCGAATCACAATTAGATGCCGTTCAAGATCGCACGAATTGCGGCTTCGAGACACATTAATAACCAGGCAGTTCATTGCTGTGAAGCTCCAAAACATCGCACAATGAGCACAGACACGGTAGGAGTAGAACAGGGAGAAGGCGGTGATCGGGTGCATGGCTGCATCCGGCCCATCCACCGCCAGGCAGGAATGATTGGCGCCGGACACACAATTGACTGTGGGACGCGAGAGGATAGTCTTGCATCCCGAATCCTGCAGTGTCGCCAACAATACCCACAATCAATCTTGCTCTGTGCCTGCAGCTATGGCTTCCTGCGCTCTGCTCCTCTCCACCTCGCTCCTGCCCACCTCTCCCGCCGACTCCACTTCCTTCTCTCACCGCGCTGCTGATGGCGTCACCCCTGGAGCCCTTCGTATGGTCGCGTCGTCGCGGAATGGTGTAGCGAGCTCCAGCGGATCTTTCGAGCAATTCTCATCGACGACCCGAATGGGATTTTCGGGCGCGAGGATTACAAGGAGAGGAGGAGTGGTGTGCGAGATGGCCGTCGAACTGGGTGGGTCGAGGTCCAGCGAGGGAGAGAAGAAGGTGGAGGTGGGGACGAAGGTAAGGGTGAAAGGGTCGTTGAAGGTCTACCATGTGCCCAAGAACCCGGAATTGGACATCGACGGGCTGGAAGGGGAGGTGAAGGAGGTGGTGACGACGTTCAAGGGCAAGCCCGTGTCGGCGACGTTCCCTTACAAGGTGCAGTTGGTGACGATGGGCGAGGAGAGCAGGAAGTTCTTCGTGCATTTGAAGGACGACGAATTCGAGGTTTTGGACTGAAACTGGACTGGGTGCGGGAACTTGTGGTCTTGCTCCAGGTTAGGCCTACTCTAGACCAGTCTGGCGAGAGCGAGTGGAATAGTAATGAGAAATGAACAGGGCGTGCAGGGTTGATCCTCAGGAAGTTGCTGGATTGAGGTGTGGATATGGTGGGATGGCAATGAGAGGGAAAAATGTTATTGATTCTTTGGAGGTTGCTGCAACGTAGACAGATCTGGGTACGGTTTGGGGGGACAAGTACGCTAGAGCAGAATTGATTTGTGGGTGCAGGTGGAGCTGCTTGTGTAGGTTAAAGTATTGCCGATGGAAGAGAACTCGGAAGCGATGGACTCTTTGCTGCCAAGAGCTAACACTCGGTTGTACCTTGGTGTGATGAAACGTAGATGTGGTGCCTGCGCAATGTAATTTTGGATTTCTTGTATTCTGTGAGAAAGAAACGATGGACATTTTTTTTCACATGCATTCGATTCTTTTGAGGTGGGAACGGTATTAAATTAGGTGGGGATACTAGGATTCCAGATTGTGTGGGATATGTGATTGGAAACTGGGTGGTGCATTGTGGTTAACATGCCACTGAGCAGGTGATGTGGTTAGCTTTTCATGTTGTGCATGGGAGTGATGAGACGAACGACATAACAGGCGATGTTAGGAAGCCACATAGGGAAGAGATGGTACTGGCCTCTTTGAATTATGAGATTTTAGCTTCTGATGTAATTGCGGATATGCATATTGAGAGGGATGTGGCGTGTTGAGGTTGGTGGGTGTATTGATGTCGTGTGCCTGAACTGGCTTGATGCCCATTGTGGAGGTAACACCTTGCGTCTATCATCTGGTTGTCAAGTGAAGTTCTTCCAGTGTGAGAAATCTGTGATTCGATTTGCAACTGGGATTTTCAGATCAAACCACTGAGAATAAATATGCAATTAGAGGTTTATAATACTGTTTATGAGATTCCTAGCAGATTTGATTGTACTGTGATTATCATGCAAGAAGAGGATGTTGCAACTGTCATTTACTTCTTTGATGCCCAAGTAATTGATCCTCTTATTAGCTTGAAAACATATGTTGTTAGAATTTTTTTATTATTAGGATTGTTTGCCCAATCAACGTTTGTAAATCCAATGATCTCTGTATTCTCATTTTTTAGATAGAAAATTCTAAAATTAATGGTTTTTTTTTATATCTCAGCACATGTTTTGCAGCTTGAAGGTGGGCTTGCCTTGGTGAATGCATGAATTGACTAAGAAGCCATATAGCACATGTCAAATCTGGTTTGGAGTTTAATAAGTAAATCATTTTTTCTCCAAGTTTCTGATAATAATTTTCATTGACAAGTGGAGGTTCTTCTTTCTTTCCAAGCTTTAGTCCTTCATGTGTTGGAACCAATGCTAAATTGCTATCTTCCATTGTAAATTCAGCAAGAATGCTTTGAGCATAGGTTGCTATATTGAAATAGGCCCTTGTGTGTTGATAGAAATTCTACACCAAGATAGAATTTGAGTTTATTCAACTGACATATCAAACTTGCCTATTAGTTGTAATTTCAACCAATATATGCGAGTAGTATTATTTCTTGTAGAAAGATTTCTTGTAGGAAGTAAAAATATAAAAATTATGATTTTCCATTGTCATATTAATAATATAAACTATAATTTGCTTCAATTTGATTCATACCATGATTTTGGAAAAAATTATTAATTTTTTTGAACCAAACTTTAGGAGCTTGCTTGAGACTATCAAGTGATTTTCAAAGTAGGCAGACTTTGTGAGGTGTTTTTGGCTTAATAAATCCATTTGGCTAAACCATAAACACAGGTTCACAAAGATTGCCATTGAAAAAGGCAGTCTAGACATGGTTCCTAGATATTCACATCTTGATGACAGAATTCCTAGTAAGCTGAAGTTGCTATAGCTAATATGGTCAAATTGTATTCTATTTAGCAACTCGAGCAAAAACTTGAGAGTAATTGATTCCTTCTTTCTGCTGGAATCCCCTGGCAACTAGTCTTGCTTTCATCTTTATAGATTTCCCGTCCAATCTTAACTTAGTTTTGAAAATCCATCACGCTGTGACTAGGTGAGATCGTGTGGGGAGATCTACTAGATCCCATGTTCTATTTTTTGTAATGCTATCTTTCTCAAGCTGAATAGCTGCTTGCTAGGGTGGTGACTTCATGGCTTCAGCAAAAGAAGAAGGATCATCTACGGTTACTGGTTCTTCTGTTAAACCATAGAAACAATCAAAGTTAATATAGTTGAGATTAAGATTGTGATTTATATATCCAATATTATTGTCTTTGAAGCAAATCAAAGGCCATCAAACATGCGGAGAGAGTCTTTATTTTAGTATGGTATTTTGGTGATAATTGTCGTTGCGAAGAGCTCGTTTGTTTTGCAGTAGATATGTAGTTGGTTGAGCAATTTCATGCAAGATTGCATCATCGATATTTACTGATGGTGATTTGCTTGTTGATAAGTCATCATTACTTGGACATGCGGGCAGATCTGATATTAAGTTGTTGCTTGATGGTGTCAATACTGAAATCGCAGAAGAAGCTGGATTTGAGGTAGAATTTTCTCCACAATCACATTTATATTTGAGTACTTTGGTTTCATCAAATTTGATATCTCTTAAAATTACCAGCTTTTGTCGACTAGGGACCCAACAACGGTAGCCCTTTGTCTAGTCATCAAAATCAACAAGAACTCTTTTCTATGATCTTGTTGAAAGCTTGTCAACAACATCCAATTTTTCCAGTATATACACCCATGACCTAAAAACTTGAGTATGACCAACTAACAGAATCATACCTGTAAACTGTTGATATGGTGTTTGCAGTCGTCGGTTATTGGTTTATGAAATAAGGAACTATGTTCATGGCTTCACTCCAGAGGAACTTTAGTATCCCACCTTGAATGATAGTAGAACGTGTTTTTTTCAAGCAACGTTCTATTCATTTGTTTAGGGACTCTATTCTAAGAGGGCCATTCTACACTCGTGAGTCTATAACAAATGGCATGACCATAACAAAAATGAGTTATTATTTTGGAGAAAAACTCCCCGCCTCGATCAGATCTCAGTGTACTGACATTTTTTCTTGTCTGGTTTTCAATGAGCTATACAAATTATATAAATTGTTTGGCTGCTTCTGACTTCTTGCAAAGATACCGCACTCATAACATTTTGCTATAGTCATCTATAATCACCATAAAGTATTTTGATCCGGCGAGAGAAGAATGTGACATTGATTTAGCTAGGTCTGTATGTAGCAATTTTAGAATTCTTGTTGCTCTGCGGAAGCTCTTGTTCAGATAAGGTAGTTTGGTTTGCTTGCCTAATTGACAGGATCTACAAGTTTTACGTTTCACTAAAATATACAAAATTCTTGTGGCCTGTCCAGTGGATAATTTATGCAAGCTTTGGTTGTTAATGTGAGCTATGCGATAATGCCAAGTTTTTGATAAATCATTCACAGATGAGCTTGCTGCGTTAACTTCCACAGTAGAATCTCTTGTTATCAATTGGTATAAGCCATTTTTGGGATTTCAAATCCTTTCTGCTACTACTATGTTAGATTTTTGGTTTAGTGAAATACACCTAGTTGCATCAAAGCAAGCACTCTAACCCAAATCTGTTAGTGATTCTATGGAAAGCGAGTTCTTTTGGATTCCAAGGACGCATAAATTTCTATCTTTTTTATTAAACCATTTGCAAACTGAAAATTTACAACGCCGCCCCCAACAACGGAGTGTGATTGACCTCCTGCCGTTTTAACATTTCCTTTGATACCATGTTCTAGACTATCAAAGTAAATTTTCTGTCTCGACACATGTCTACTTGCTCCAGTATCAAAGAACCAGTCCAAATCATCTCTTTTGATATCAAGTGCTGCTATGGCAGCTTTGAAAGTAGTTCCATACTTTGCAAGATCAGCATCTATACTTTGGTTTACTGGATCCTCCTCATATTTCCATGACTGTTCTTCATTTTTGATAATGTGAGCCAGGTTCAATTTTTTCTATTTTAACATCATCCTTCTATTTGCTTCTAGTTCACGGATGTCTAAAAGTCTCTCTGGACACATTCAAATCTAGTGGTCCTATGCTCCACAGTAATTGCACAATCCAGCTTCTTGTATTCAGGTGAATATGGATCAAGGAATTGATGCTCCTGTATATTATTTCTGAGGTTGATTTTGATATTGGCTAGCACATAAGTATAATGCTTTTGATTGAAAAATAATTTTTGGTGATGTAATCTGTCTCCTACTTTCTTCAAGCATGAGGTTAGCTTGGAGTTGAACAAGAGTAGGAAACTTATCTCCTGTAGTATAATGCTGCATGAAATGGTTGCAGTTGTCAGCATTTCATTACAATTTGAACAAGATCATTGTCTGTCACAGTTACTCCTATGGTTGCCAATTTTGCATTTATACCGTACAATTTAGCAAAGTATTGCTCAAATGATTTTTTTTAGTCATAGTAATCTGAGATACCCTATTCCTTAATTCAAACTTCCTGTTGTTGAAAGTGATTTCAAAAGTACCCTTCAAAGTCTCTTACAATAACTTAGGATCCTCGAAAGTAGCCAGATTCTACAAGACTCATGGTTTAATCAACATAATCATAATATATAACAGCCTCTCTCTTGTCATCTATGTCACGATCTTCATGTGTTTTTCTTTTAGAGGAACTACTGCCAATGTCTTCAAGCACAAACCACAACTTTTTTAGTTTAGCAGCACAAGTCAACATGTATTTCTAAGGGTGAAATTTTTTGAATCTTGTGAGTTTAACATCCTCTTGCAGTATAACGTCTTTAGACATTGCTAGAACAGGTGTCTTTGCTACAATAACTCTTAAACAATCTGTTGTCTGGTTCAAGATGTAATAGGAACAAAAAAAAAAAAAAAAAAAAAAAAAAAACGAGTTGATTTAGAAATGACTTTATAATATAGACATATTTCTAAAAACCTCAAGCTCACCTTCAAGTTCTAATACCATGTTGACATCACTCATTTACATAGACAACTACACACTTATTATAATCAAAGAAAATAACTAACACACATTTATTAGGATTTAGTACAATATATATCCTTTTGAACTGTCACTTATACCATCAAGGATGATGATATTTGATAGATTGAATATTATCTTTGTTTTTCTATTATAAGCATTTATCTATTATAACTACATAACTTGGTAGTATGCTAACAATTAATGCTAAGATTATTATTCTTCTATATCTATTTGATCATATTTCTTCTTTTTTCCTAATTTTTCATGCCCATTATCCCAGCAATTTTTTTTGCATCTCATTGCTCGTAGCAAAAAAGCAAGCCACCATCAAATGGATTAGGGATTGACAAAGTAAGTTGTCATTTGGTTGATGAGTCTACAATAGAATCATCTATCATCCATAGGGCTCCAAGCCTCTTCAATGACCTAGAGCGGCATTC